CTTTTTTTTTATTTTTTGCTCTTATGTGATATAACCATGTAACTGTCCCACGTTATAGTGTGTTTCCTAATCTATAATGATTTATTAAAGGCTTTTGAGTTCTATTACCATGTCTTGCTTCCCAGCTGCATGAATAAGGAAAGCAGATTGATTGACAAGCTTGTAGCTTCCGTGATCGATGACTTTGCCCTCATCGTTTAAGCGCACGAGATCGGAGCGCTTGATGAGTGCGAATGACACCTGGGGGATTCCCATTCTGTTTTTCTGAGAGTATATATCCATTAGAGTATTATTACAATACTCGCCAACCAATTTCAAAAGGATAAGTTATCCTGTTGAATAGAGCGCTTTTACCCTCTTCTCTCATAAATACTCCGTACGCAGGCGAGGATAACTCCACGAAAGTAAAGATACTCAAGTATTTTATTAATACACTAAAATAAGCTCGCTGTGCAGTTCATCGATGATTTTTTTCAGACGGATGCTCTGCAGCGAAATCTTCGTAGAGCCATGGATCTTTGAGCAGGTCACTGGCAGTGCTTCGTTCTACGGGATTCCACCTGACCATTTTTTTCACGAATTCTAGAAAATTGGTCTTCTCCTGGCCGCTTATCATGGAAACAGTGTTCTCGAATTTGAGATCCTGAGGAATCAACTCGGGATGTTTAAAATTACCTTGATTAGCGTTTTAGAAGAGTCGCTTAGTATTTTGAGTGATTGTAGACTGACCATTGGGCTCGTAAAACATGGACGTTCTCTGGCCGGAACGAAGCATATCATGAGGTGGAGGGCCTAGAAGGCCAGTGAGCTGAGCGAGATGTACCGAGTCATCATATCGATCGCTGATCCGCTTATCAATTGGATCGAATAAGCGTTTTCCCTCAAGAAGGTCCCACATCTGTAATGGTTTCGCATTAATGCCAATTCATTCCTGCAACCCTCTGATTTGAAGTCTTACCATGACACCGAGACTCCATATATCTGCACTGTAAGAGTAACCAGAATCAAGTATAACCTCTGGGGCGCGGTAGGCTTCTGCTTGGATACACCCAGAGTGGTGTGTCTTGCCTGACTTTGAATAGCCAAAATCGGCAATCTGAACGATGCCAGCGGGTATAGAGAACGGGCCGTAGTTGTTTCGCGAAAGATAAATGGTACGGTCATTGGTAATCTTTTGCGGTAAAGGGTTCTGATATTCATCTAGAGCATCTCTGTCCAAGATTGCAAGGTCTTCAAGCTTGACCAGTATATTATCCGGTTTCAAGTCTGATCGCCAGTCAGTACTGCGGAAAATGTTCGTGTAGTATAAGAAACCTGTATGGATGACCTGGCATTCTGAATGCAGATAATCAAGCCCGTGTAGAATCATCTGCATAATAATCTTGAGAACATCTACAGGGATAACCCCTCCGACAAACCTCCGACAGTACAGCCACAATGGTTCTCGTAAAGGTTCGAGAACGAGGCACAGGTGGGTTCCAATGGCAACGTCAATAGTGAAAGAACCTGATAATCTTCTCACAAAGCTCCAGCCTTGATGCTTTTTATTTACAGAAGAAATGTGTTTGAGCATTGCGAGTTCGTTTTCGGCGGTGTTCTGTCCGGAGCGACGATTCACAGCATTTACCTTGAGGGCGACGTATCTTTCTCGAGACCACCGCCAGCTACAAACAAGTAGTTAGACGAGAATAAAAATACCAGTCGTTGGAAAAAGAAAGCACCTATGCAAATCTCTGGCGAGCCATACTGTTGAGCTTGAACCATATCCAAGTTTGGTGGCAATCTGGTATCTTCCGTGAAGCACTTGGCCCAGGCAAACGGGGTAAAATCGACTGGTGTCATAGTAGGGAGTCTTTTCTTCTTCGATTGGTGAACGAGAATCAAGTCGCGGTGCAATCACAGCTGAGGAAGGCCATGGGGGATGTGTGAGAAATATGAGCGAGCGTGATTTGCAAAGCTTAAAGAACTTCATCATTTGGTGATTATATCTTTCGTGCTGGTGGCATCTGATTTGCGGGAAGCAATCATGTGTGTGCGGCGGGCACCCTTTCCAACGATCGAATTTATTCCCCAGCAGTCCGGACAGGGTTCTGCTACCGCAAGTGGTTGGGAAAATTAGAAAAAGGCACTGGCTCCTCCAAAATTGGCCGGTTCCGCGTAAGAACAGATTTCGGCTGAGCTGGTAAGCAAAGTAGACAAAGGCATCACTTAACTTTGTTGGTAGAATTGACGGGAAAAACCAGCTCTAATGAGATCGCCAAAATAAACCATGTAGAGCGCACAATCACGTGCATTTATCAAGTACTAAAGTAGCAAGATTAGGAAAATACTAGTTAAAAGAATCGCTTCTTATTCTGAATAATAGAACCTTTTCTTTTTATAAATATGTCTTCAATTTATTAGTATGTTATCATTATGATAGAGAATTCGGACTTGAAAGCCTCTGTGTTTTTGGCTTAAGGCCCTGGAGAGCCCGCCGCCGCCGCCCCGTCCCGGGGCCTCACTGGCTACGTTATAGTAGTCGCTTTCTTCCGCACTCCTTTTCTATCCTTCCCTTTCTCCTTGCGAGAATTACTAAATATATTAAATATATTTAGTCTTGGTCAAGTGTTCACTCGTCATTCCAGGATACTATTTACCTTTGGCAATCGAAATGTTTTAGATAATCTTTCTAAAAGTCTAGCTGTCTTGTTGCTGACCTTCCGTCTTCCACTTTCGGAGTACCTGCAAAGTTGCCCAGAGACTGAAAGGAAAAGCAATAAACCACAGGGTCAAATTGATGCTGGCCGTCGCAATCAGCTTGGTTGGAACAGCCTGAACGCCAAACCCTATAGCGATGCCCGCTGTCTCGATGCCGCGCAAAAGTGAGCTGTAGCGAATTTGCTCACCAGGTGAGTCTGACAGATTTCCAATACACCAGTAGATGTAATTCTCCACCAGGGATAAACTGATCCGTTCAAAAATGTAGAGTCCGAAGCCACGCCCAAATGCGGTCAAATTACCCCAATCGAGAGTTGGGTGAGTATGTTGGTACTCATTCTGTATAATCACGGCCCATATCCATGTAGCGCTGTTGAGAAGTGCAATCAGTACCCACGCAGTCAGGGCGCGGACTTTTCTATCTTTTACCCAGGGAACGTCGACCAGAGAACCTGCCAGCCATGTGGCCAATGTGCCCACGATTGAGGACAGCAGACTTGCCAGGGCACGCGACCGAACTGTAAAGTACGTTGCAAGGTATGTTCCGGGATAGGCCTGAATCCAGCCAAAGTACCAAAAGAGCGGCGTGAGAAGCAGGATGGATTTACTCGAGAGGTGTTTCCACATGGCGCGCAACTCAGTCTGCCAGTGAATGGTACCTTGCGACGTTTGAATCCAAGTGCCGTCGTCACGCTGAACCTTGTCGGGATTCGATAGGAGTAGTCCAAATAGCAGGCCTAGGCATTGGATAGCGATGAACGCCTGATATGCCTCGTACCCAATCTTGCCGCGTTTATCGTCGGCGTAGTTTAGGCTGAGGGAAATTGCACCTCCAATAATATTGCCGAAATTTCGAAAGGTAAACCTACGAGATACATTAGCACTCTGGGCAGTTCTTTCACCGGCATCTATAACAGATTTTTTTTTCTAACCATGTTGCGATGTATCTACCGCGTTTGTGTTGTTCCGGGTAACCGGTTGCGATGGCGCCCTCGACACTCCAGAAGAGCCCAGCACTGATGCCGCAGGAGACAGAGCCAAAGTATACCAACCATGTGGCGCCAGTGCGATTATTCAGATAAAGACCGGCAGCGTAAAGTGGATAGCCAATTGATCCCAGGCTCAACGTGTAGCGGAATCCAATCGCGTTGGTGACCCATGGGCCTGCAAAGCAGGTCACTGTCATGAAAGCGTAGAGAAGGGCGTTGGCTGCATTGACCAAATCAGGTGACTGACTGCCGCCTACGCCTAGACCGTTCATTGCGCTCCATATACCTGGCGCGCAGAAGGCACAGAGCCCTACAACGAGGATCTGAAAGAGAGTGCTGCGAAAGAAAGTTGGCTTGGCCTTGGAAATGGTACCAGCCTCCTGGTCATTGGTGAGAGCGTCCGTCTTGAGGGGTAGGACCTCGGCTGGGCCCCCGGGGTTGACCATAGCAGCACTCATTGTTATTCGACTAAAGGTCAGATAAATAAGGATCTATGCTGCTACTTGGACGAAACCACAATTAAATACGTAGATGAGTCCTATTGAGACATTACCATGTGAATTTCTCGTAATGCCTGTGGCTGATGAGCAAATGCATGGCAACCCACTATATTTAAATCACTAGCACGCACAACAGGCTATAGTTTAACTTTGGAGGCGCTGTGCGTAATCGAGGCTGATGATGAGTATATTATTATTGTCCCGGTCTTTATCTGTAGTATTTATCATGATACGCTGCATTTTTTTGAGGCGTTCCTTTCTCATGTAAGCTGTTCCTGACCAGATACGACTGATACGATATACAACAGTTGCCGAGGTACCATGCTAAATCGGACGGCTGATGACTACGTAGATCTTTCCAAGTAGAGGGGATGCGGCTGGCTCGCCACTCACGGCTGAGATTAGGCAATCCCATGCTCTAGATACCATACGAAGAAAAGCGATATAAAGCGAGCAGACCTTTTCCTTATCTATACAACTACAGAGAGGTCTCTATCTGACGAAGACTACTCCTCAGAACTACCATCGCCCGCAAGTTACAATGTCTTCTGCTATTCGACAACGACAAGCTTCGCCCGTGAGATTCGTAGAGTCTACCGGCTCAGCTGTAACGTTTGAGTCTTTTGATTTGCCTGCTACCAATCAACGCTTTCTTGATTACCCTCATCCGCCCAACACCCAGATCCCTCTTGCGCTTCGCCCGTCCAGCGATGTGACTTCTTTGGAAACTGCCGTCTCTACAATCAAAAACCTCCAACGAGACGGAACTCTGACCAAACTGCTAGCAAGGCACGGTGCTATTCTCTTTCGGAATCTTCCGATCGATGACGCTCTTGCATTCAGCAAATTTGCTCACGCATTTGGGTATGCGCCCCATGAGATCATTGGCATCGTCGTCGACCGGCCACTTCTAGCGCCCAACGTCGCTCCTGCCAACGAGGCTCCAAAGGAGGTGCAAATCTACAACCACAATGAGTCCCCTCAGGTGCCGCACGCCCCAGCATACATTTTCTTTTATTCTCATCGGGCTCCAGAAAAGGGCGGCGAGACTCCCATTTCGTCCAGTCTGGAGCTATTCCATCGCGCCCAGGCCGAGATACCGGAATTTATTGATCTTGTCGCCGAGAAGGGAATTCTTAGCAAAGTGACATACAAAGCGACGAAGCAGACAGCGGGGGGATCGACTTTGAGGCAGGCCTTTGGAAAGGAAATCCAGGATAGCGATGACGAGGAGAGGGCGCGCAAAAAGATTGAAGCACAGATTTTGCGATATGGCCGCGGGGAAAACACTACATGGGAGTGGAAAGATTTTGATGATGGCAAAGGGCTGGTGCTCACACATCGCTTACCGGTTATTCGAACCCAGCCAGGGACTAACCTCCCCACGCTTTTCAGTGGACTGGCAGCTTATCACAAGTACTCGATCAATGCTCAAGCAGCAGATGGATCTGCGAAAGCAAACACTGTGCATCAGTTTTTTGGCGATGGAACCCAAATTCCTGAGAAATATTTGGCTCACCTAGTCGAAATTACCGAAGATATTCGAGTTCTCCATAAATGGCAGCAAGGTGATGTGCTGGTCTTTGATAATATCATTGCCCAGCATGGACGTGAGCCATGGCAAGGGGAACAGTCCGATCGCGTGGTTTTGGCTAGCTTGTTCGATGGAGAAAAATTGCCTGGTGCATATGGATTCGGAGATTGGGCCCAAGTTGTGAAAGCCTCGGACTAGCTACATAGTGAGATAATTGCATGCAATACGCGATGCCTCGTCGTTGTCAAGTTACTCTGGGTGAAGTGAGTAGGGAACTAGATTTATATGATAAGCATCACCGAAAGTATTGGTCGCACTTATTATGTTGTATTGTACGCATAAAAATTAAGGTCTAGTTAGCTAGTAGTACTTAGACACCAGAATCATCTTGGATTACATTGTTGTCTCGCTGGAACGCCGACCAAGCGTCACAGCCTTCGCCAAGGCTATCTTGATCAACAAGAGCGGACAACTCATCAGCGCGTTCAATGATCTGAAGAGCAAACCCCATTTCAACGTGGTAACCAATGTGGCAATGCATGAGCCATGCACCGGGATTGTCTGTAACGAAGCCAATGACAAGGTACCCCGAGCCAGGCAGAAGAGCAGTATCCCTACGCGGGGGATTTTTGACTTTCAGAGGCGAGACACCAGGTAAAAATGGGCCAGCACCCTGTCCAAGTACAAAGAAGTCGTGCCCGTGCAGATGGATTGGGTGAGCAACAAATAAGGGGTTCTTGATTACCAGATAAAATGTCTTGTTGGCTTCGGGTAGCTCAATTACCGAGTCGTTCTTCTGGAAACTGGTGTCGTGGCGGAGTATTTTGCTGAGCGTTGGATCGTCCCACTCTATCAGCATTGGAGCTTCCTTGAGAGTCCAGTACCAATACCCGTCTACTTTGTCGAAACTCGTAGTCTCGGAAACTTCGATATCGGGTTTTCGGACATCCTCTTCAATGTGTGGCACGGCTTTCATGGTTTGGTCGCCGCATAGCTGAGAGTATGGGTAGGGTAATGTAGATGGCTTCGTCCATGCCTCATCATAATGCACAATTGCTAGAATGTCATTGAACTTCCAGTTCGGATCACCGCAAAGCCCCAGAGGTATAGATCGCATCCAGAACTGACGTGCTGTGGCAGCTTGATTCGCAGTGACTAGAATGTCATAACGTTGGCCCATTGTAATGTCCAAGACATTGACTGTGTACGGCTTCACAGGAACAAGATCATGCGCTATGACCGTCATGACATGATTGTCTATCATGAATTTGAAGTGAGATATGAGTGCAGCGTTCACTAGACGTAGACGATAGGTCTTGTTGGCTTCGAAGCGAATGTTGAGTCGTTGACCACCGTTGCCAAAGGTGTTGGTGCCATTGATCAAGCCGGTTTGAAGAGGCGGAGCGAGAAACACGCTTTTGTGCATGGTCGAACGCTGATATGCCGTGGCATGATCCCAATCGTTTAGAAATAGAGGACCCAAATCGACGTCATAATTCGCGGTTGCAGGCCCATTTATGACGATTCCACCAAATACTCCTTCCCACGCTTGTAGGCCAAAATGTGAATGATACCAGGTCGATCCATACTGCATGGCTCTCCAAGTGTAAGTCATCGTGTGGTTGACCGGCGTAGGGCATTGTGTCATGGACACCACACCATCGTTCTGATTGTTGAAGAGTTGGCGTATGCCGTGGAAGTGTATGCTCGTGCCATTTTTGGAAGTGTAGAGCGAATTCCTCACATGAACAATCACCGTGTCGCCCCAATCGGCAAAAAGAGTTGGTCCGGGAATAGTACCGTTTACGGCTAAAGCAAAGGTCAGCAACACATCTTTTCGAATTCCGCTAGGAACTATTACCCATTGCTGGCCTTGATACCCCATCTGGTGCAGCAATAACATCCACGACATCAAGCCAGTATTCCCTAGTAACACCTGTCTCTGGGGTCTCACGAATGTAATCCGTATCGATCGAGTGAGTGCACCATGACGCTCGATTCGCAGGCGTATTACCAGAGCAAGACGATGGTGATTGCGGCTGCACTGAGGAAAGAGTAAGCGCAGTTGTGTATAAATGAAAGACACTTAGACCAAGAGCTACTTGGAATAACATGACTGAGGCGACTGTACGTAAGGACGTCCGAATAGTGAATATCTTGAGATCAAGTTGCTGGTTCATTAAAGAAGATGGCTAAAGCTGAGATTATAAGCTTGAACGCTTGCGAAGGAGGTATAAATCTTTGCTTGAAAAATGCCAAGAAGATAGGGTCTGGGGTAACCATGCAAAACGATGTACTAACAAACGTCATTGCGAGACGAGCTGAGGTCAGTGCGAGCCCAAGCGTCAATATAAACCCTTATAGCCGACCTGAAATCAATCGTAGCGTTTTTGTTTGTATAGGGCATGACAGATCAGCAACAGTTTCCACACCGCACATGCCGTATACTACGGTGGTGGCATGAGTTTGATAAGAGAACATGCTATTCTAAATATCATATGGATTTGCGGCAGATAGCAACAGCAATGCTTGTTTTGACAGAGGAGATTTATTTGATAGCAGCGTTATTGTTCTACACAAATAATAAACGGGAATAATATCGCGGAATAACTAGTCAAGTGGATCGTGGAACTTCATACAACGGCGAAAACAGTGCCATGCGCTAGGGTCGGCGCATCAGAAAATTCACTTCAAAGTGTACGTTGATTATCTAGTAGTCACGAGCGACGCAGCAGTTATGGTAGTCCATGAAGCATATCGACGAAATCTAGTCTGTCGGTCAAAGGTTCTGATGCTTTGAACCTAGCTAAATCTTTTCTTTCGCTCTTATACAGCCTATAAGTGTTACTCTGCGCATCACCCCTGCAGATCCTTATGTGGAAAGCAGTGGGACTCATTAATTGGGAGGCACTAATAGCGCACAGAACAGACAGAAATCGCCAACTGTACTGGTTGTAAGTACACTGCCGCTACACTAGCATAGCAACTAAGAAGCTTACTCGGCGGCTGCTATAATAAAAGTAGACGTAACTAAAGAAATACCAGTGCTAAAGCACACTACACTCCTCAACTGCTCAATCTACATCAGTGAATCTGAAAGGCTACAGTTTACGAATATGATATATCGCGTCGCTACTTCATAGCAGTGGCAGTTTCTGAAACGCTATAAAACGGGCGAGCGCTGTATAGCCGTGTCTAAGCCCGCTTTTAGCCTGCCTTTAGCAGTATACAGCCGTTGCCCGCCCGCTTTTAGCCTGCCTTTGGCAGCATCTAACCGTTTACCCCCGCATTTTAGCCTACCATTGGTAATACCCGCGTGACGGGCACGTTTGATGTGCGGGGTGTGTTGGTACTAGTATACATTATCGCTTTTGAAGATAGAGGCGTGTGATATTGCTACGCAACAGGTCGCCGCGACTGATTTCAGAAGAATATACTAAAAAGAATTCTATATCTTAAGGGTCTAAGGAGCCTTAGGCTAGGGTAAGCTATAAAGCCTAACTCTTTTATACAAGCGCTTTTCACTAGATAGACTAGCCTTATATAATACTAGTAGTAGATTTTAGTAGGTATATACTCTTTAGTATATGCTATATAAAGATAGAAGTATCTACTTAAGAATATAATGTAGTTAGCTATTTTATGTGTTACCGCTACTACTACTCTCGCTGCCGCTGCCTCCGCTGCCTCCGCTGCCTCCGCTGCCTCCGCCGCTGCCTCGCCCCTCGAAGCTGCTAAAACACTCGCTAATTTTTTCTTTCGCTGCGCGTGCACAATCAGCTAGAAGGAATTCTTCCGCGGCCGCAGCGGCATCAATGATATATCAGGAGACTTAGATAGAGGCGGCAGCGACAAAGGCAGCGATGACGGCGATAGCGGCGGCGATAGCGGCGGCGATAGCGGCGATAGCGGCGCTAGAAACGTGTGTAGTCTAGTTATTATACCGTAATCAGATGTTAATTACAGCAGCTTATTACAAATCCTTTTATAGAATTTTAGCATAGCCACTACTGATGGCAGAAGTAGTTGGTCACTGCTTTGAGCCCCGCCTATGGTTAGGGCGTTATATCGACGGCCCTCGACGGAAGTACCAAGAGTGGTACTGGATTCTCCTCGATCATAGCGAAAGAGCTGACAAATTTTGACAAAGACTTTGCTGCGTAAGCGTATTTAAACATGCTAACCTTCTCCCTCACCACACACATACATTTTCATACAATCAAAATCGAACTCTTCAACATCATCAGCTATGCCGTGTTTATACCGTCGTCGCGCAGACGCTCTTATGGCGTCATACAACTCCAGCGGCTCCGACTATATGGACAATTTTACTTCCGACGCTACAGTGAGCGACTTTCGTATGTCGTCATGCCTTACTGTAGTTGACCCTTGGTTAATTAAGACTTGTTAGTGTTCAACGCAATTGACATGGACAAAGAAGCCACGCATGGCTTCTTTTCCACCTTTCTCACTAATAATTCCGACGTGAACTTTATAACGAGAGACGTGACCGGATCGAATGAGTTTCTTGCTCACGAAATGCACATTGACTTTATCGCCGGCAGTGACATCGAGAGCTTGAACATTTCCAAGGGTCAATTTGTGCGCCTCACAGGTGTTTCGGTGCAGCGGTGGCGGGAAGAAAACTCTGCAAGCCAGAATATTGATGAGTTGACTAGATGGAAAATCTTTGAGCAGAAAGATTACTTCTTTGTTGCGGAGAAGCGGAATGCTGCTTAGAGAAGCTACGAGGGTGACAAGATAAAACACTTGCTTGATCGACAACCCGTACCTTATTGAGCAGACAAGTCTACCCATCTACAACACTCTTACCTAGCATATTTGAGAAGGCCTTTTTAGCTGAAGAATAAGACTGAATTGAATTGTGCGACGAGTTTTGCACCCCTTACACACACGCCTGTATTGATGATTGGCCACTGTCTTAGCCAATCCTTATATTTGATACTACGCATAGTATCGGCTCTTATAAAGGTATATCGTCATAAAGTCTTTTGCACGCCCTTTAGTAGACATGTTTAGCGGGGATACCCCCGCTGCAGAGCATAGCTCTTCTAGCCCTAGGATATAGCTGAGACGCGCAGAATTAGATCCGAACTTGTTCGGATCTTGATACTCTCCAATCAAGATAAGCTTTCAGTAGTATAGTAATATCCCTTATTTTAGAGACCTTATATATAATAAATATTATAATAATAGTGAGTTAAACTTAAAGAATAATAATATAGTTACTATAAAACTTAAAGTAATATTAATATTATTCTAAAAGGAAGATTTATAATAATTAATAAGTAATTAAATAGTTTTATTTTATAGAAATACTAGATTTCAGTAGTCTTTAAGTCTAATATTAAATATGATTATCAGTAGTATTTATAAAATTAAATTAGTAATATAATACTTTATAAGTCTAGCCTTAGCCTTTATACTACTGCGATATTTAAGTGATTCTGTGCTATATTTTGGTTATATCTATACTAAATATGAATTACTTCTTCAAGGATCAGACGCCTCATGATTTGCCGAATGATGATGGAATGTCGTGAAACCACTTGGACTTGGCATGCAAGTCTGCAAATATGGCTTCTGACTCGTTGCTCGACAAATGTTGCATGCCCTTGAGATCCTCTTCCATCAATTCTTCCATTTCATCTTCGACCTTGGCTTGCCCTTTCTCATCGCCAGTAACCAACTGAGGCTTCTCGCCCCGCGCAATGAGAAGAAGCTGCGTATTTTTGTAGTTTAAATGCTCCGGCTTCGTAGGAATCCAGCGATATGAGCCAAATTCTTCCAGAATACTTTCCTCTTTGTTAGTCACATGAAGTTGGAGATATACACTTCGCCACACTTACTTTTTGGGATATTCTGGCGGCGAGGGTAGTCGTGCATAGGCAGGTCCCGAAAATTTGGGATTCTTGCTGCTAATGATGAAGCTACCACGATCGCGGAAGCCGAGCTCACTCTGAAAGTCTTGCTTCTCTTCGGGAAGTGTAGCAATATAGGCAAAGTGTGTCTCATTTTGCGCCCGAAGAATAGCATATACGCCCTCTCCGACCGGCGTGGCGCTGGGCACATGGCGCACGCCCTTGGTCTTGGTCGCGTATTCCCGGGGTGCAAGAAAGCCCTCTGTAAGATCGGAATAGGACATGCCCGTCTCATCCACAAACGCCATGAAGCGGTCGCTGGTAGACTGTGGCAATTGCTTCTTTGGCAAGGCAAGCAGCCGCGCAGTGAGGGACTCTGGGAGCGGGCGCTTGGAGAGATCAATGTCGTCGGGGAGCGGGCGCATCACCAAGTACCCGCGAGCAATCTCATCTAACGTCTTGGGCTCCTCAATCTCGACTCGTCCTCGAATAAAGTAGTTCAAAATGCCCGTCTCGACTACCTCTGGAGCAGTGTTGCCATCCGCTTTCTGCGACAATTGCTTGTCGTTCGTGTCTGCTTTGGAAACTGATTTCGAACGTGAGGCAGCGCTTTCAACCTTTCCATCACTGCGGCTTTCGGTTTTCGCGACCTTCTGTGAGCCGCCGTGGCTGGAGCCTAGATCATGTTTTGAGGCTTGAGTGCCGGGGCCAGATGCTGCAGCAGCTCTGGTTCGTACGGGGGACATGGTTATCTGTCGTCTAGTAATCAGCTGAATCTAAATATGACTGAGTAGATTGAGTGTAAAATTGACAAATTCGTTGCAGTTTGCGTGGCCAGAGCACTGCAACTCCCTATCAATTGCTGTGAGTGTACGCCTCATTGTGATGTCACTAGGTTGACTTCATCAGAGTGCGTTGCAACTAGGTTTACGGCAAGGCCAACAACTCTAGACAATTAAAAGTGCACAGTCATAAATTTGATTTCTATTGCATATTCGACTTGGTATTTTTGATAGTTTCTAGATTCATATATGGTCGATAGCTAGTTGTCTTCTAGTACACTATTGACTGAACTACTAGCTGGTCAAGACATGGTCATTCTCTCAGAATGGCCCAAGAGCCGAATCCGGTTTATTTCTGAGAAAGTGGTCAGTAACGAATGCATATGTGTTTAACCGTCCCCTCGTGGGATTCAAGCACGCACGCCGCAGTTTTTGCAAGTGCAATCACTGCCGCAATTGCACGAGTTGGGACCCGAACAGTTGCAGGTGGTTCCACACGAGCAGGCCATGGTGTCCGTTGTATTTGCTAATAAAAAGGTCTTGGTATGCACGACTTGTAAACGAGATTGGAATAAGAGTAGCGTTTGAAAATACGTGAAAGGCTGAAGCAAGAACCTTGATGATTGCAGATATTTATAAATGTATAATACGAAGCGAGGAGTACTTGACCGATGTATGACGACTTCTATTACAGGTCAGCTGCCATTTCAAGCGCCCTAGCGAAGGAGGAAAATGGCTGATACTGAATAAGACTAGTAGTGCTAAAGCTTTTGCCGGAATAGGACGAATCTAATTCTCAGACTTTCGATGCAATCTTGTTCCTTACTGTCTCGATAAAATGTTGCATGATGCGCTGCTACCCAACAGCTAGTCAAACCCACGTCAGCAGAATACGCATCAAAAAAGTACGACGGGGTACTGTTAAACCAGGCGCAACGGTAACAAGCAGTAAAGCATAGTCAGAAATACACAGAGCAACGGTAACCGACTCTGTTGTTGACTGGTTCCATGAATTAGATTATCCTTTCACATACAATGGTACTCTTTACCCGCTGAAACGTCATGGCTGCGATCGCGTCAAAGGTTCGTCATGGAGTGCACCGAACAATTACTGTCCTCTCCGCAAGCTGCTAGTACAAGGAAGGTTAGGTCCAGATCAATTTCAGTCCACGCGACCCACCTAAGCACTCATCCTCGTGAACCTGGAGTTTGCAGGACTACTAACATTATTAGGGGAATCTACCCGTGGCGCTGCGCTGAAGAAAATCCCAGAACTCAGCCTTCCACGCCGCGTGCTCGCCTATCTCCTACCAGCGCGATCACAGCACAGCAATTTTGCAGAATATCGCGAGAGGTTCCCCGCAGGACAGGCGACACTGGAGTGCCTCTACAGGCACTAAAGTCACCTACCTAACCTTTCTACTATAGAAAGATCCCTAGTTATATCTAAGTTTACCTAGTATCTAACCTAGAGATAGTTATAGAGGAGTTCTCTAATAGTTCTTTATAAGGTATATATCTATATTAGTAAATTATAATGTGAAATCAAAAAATCTATATATTATACTGTAGAAATCTAATATGTCGGACGTGTCCACTTACTCATCCTAGGCCGCGGGCCCGTACTAAGCGGGAATTAGTTCTCGTGTAGGCACTCATCCGTTCTTCAGGAAGCCACGGGAGAATATTTCGGACTACTACAAAATGCCGAGCCCGATCCCGTCTAGACTCAGGACCTGCTATCCCACGTGTCCGGTAATCGGCTACAACAGTAGAGCTCGCATTTGTAAGCCTTCCTCTCCACTAGTAGAGCGATCTCCGTCCGTTGTCGGATTTATGGATGCCTCTCTGAGTGGTCTCGCTAAAATTGCTCGGATATTTTCTTTGTCTCTGTATCCGTCTGCCATCGGATCTCGTACTAGGCTAGTGTCGCCACTAGAAAGATATTACGCCGAATTTACGCACGTTCTCTATCTCCGCCCACTATCGGATCTACGAACGCCTACTTGGGTTCCTGAAATAGCGTTGTCATTAAACGGCTTCTCAAAGTTGAACCGCCCCGGAATTTCGGCATTGGTACACCTTTAAAAGCCCGGGCAGCCTGCATACTCCCAGATATCCTCAATGTAACCTCACACTTCTATTATATCAGAAACAATGACTTTCAACCTTGCTAAGCCAAACCGCCCCCTCCATGTCGGAGTGATTTTGACAAAGGGGTAGGCGCATATCAACCTCCATTGTAGGCTCATCAAATACTCACAAACGCGCAGGACAACGGAAATGCTCGATGTCGCACCAGTGGAGCTATTTACTTGGATGGACAAAAAATCCCTTCAGTTTTTGAACTTTCCTCCTGAGATGATCGAGGACGGTATTGAGGTTGTCATGCACTGGATCAATGAAGACAAGGAGCCCGCGGCAATGAAAGGTGGCGCAAAGATTGTCCCAACTGTATGTCTCCCTACGATCCGCCAAAAAAGATGCTCAAGTTTTGACACTCAGGTCTAGGACTCTTTTCAAACAGCCCCGCAGTTGGACATTGTTCTTATGGGGGCTCATGGTGCTTATCAAACAAACGAGGTCGAGAAGGAGTTTATAAGGAAGGCCTTCGAGGACTGCAGTGCATTTATTACGATTTGTGGCGGCATCTATCCGCTTCTTGAGGCGGGAGTGCTCCAGGGAAAGACTGTGGCAGCGCCTAGGCTTCTTCTCGAAATGTCAAAGGGTATGGCACCTGATGTTGACTGGGTGGATAGGCGCTGGGTAAGAGATGGTAAGGTCTGGAGCTCTAGCACTCTACTTAATGGCGCCGATTTGATGAGGGCTTTTGCGGAAGAGAATTGGGGGCGGCGTAGTGGGATGATTGAGGCGCTGTTGGATACGCTTCATTTTCCCCAGCGTGAGGTGGACTTTAAAGACTTTAACGGGCACAACATCTCTCTCGGCCCCGCATGTAGCTTTGTCTAGTAGGGGTTACTCTCAAGTGCCTTGTAATCGGACCGCACAAATGGGAATGTGTTATAATGGAATGAATTGTTTCAACTCCATCTAGCTATACAGTGAGATTTGCTCTAAGTAACGAGCCTGACATCGTCTCTGCGTTTGAGTTCAGAACTCATGTTCTCTTGACCAAGTGAAGAGTAACTGTCCATTAAATTTGATACTAGAACTTGATAGTTGGGGTTTCTAGTGCGAAGAAACACGTTGGAAGGAGGCGGTAGATTGCTGATCGACCTATTAACCCTTGATACCCTCGTGAGTTCGACTTAGTGGATGCGTTCGGCGGTCGCGCCAGGACGGCAGTCGTCCCGTCGATCTAGGTGGTGACCGAGGCAGGGGTCGAAAGAGGGCCAAGCGTTGCCAAGGGCATTGACATGCGCAATGCCCGGCCGCAGGAACGCTAGGTGCGGCCTCAGGACCCTATTCAAGATTTCTGTTTCCGGTTGTAGCAATGTGGAGTTCGTGAGTGCATTGTGTCAGTTGGGTATTAGCGGGAACGAGCCATCAAATATTTCCGATCATGGTCGGAGCGTACTGTTATGATACTCAGAATATCGGAAGATTGATGGTGTTCAATAGGTGGCACATCATGGTAGAAAATATTCCTCGGTGGCAGTGCGGAGTGGTCTATTATCCGTAACGAAATTCTTTTGCGGCGGCGGCGGCTGGTGGTGATCGCTAACCAGCATTGGAGGCGGGCTGCCTTTCGCCGCGAAGACTGGTAATTCGATTAAACCCGACTTCCCTGTTTCATGATGACTCCCTTTGAGTAGTGAACTGCATTGAATTGAATGGTAGCGCGACGATGTGATTAAAAATGTATGCAAGGTTATTGTATGTGTTCTGCCCGTTCAGGTCTCCTGGAGAGCGGCGCAGGATGTACTAGATGCACAAACCAAGCGCAATTGTACACAAGACAAAAAAAAAAGCTTGAGGCTCGGCTATCGTCGGCGGGAGATCTGTAGAACCGACCCTAACAGGGTTTAGCGTAATCATCAGAAGGGCGCGAGCCCATCTATTAAGCTTCACCAGCTCATCTATTTTGTCCCAAACCCCAAATTTACCACTAGAGCAAAGTCGTTTTTTGCATGCAAGTTTTATTTCGGCCAGTAAATCTATTGAGACTACCTCTTATTGAACGGAGATTCATCTCACGAACACGATCATGGCCCAACAACAGGCATCATACGGTGAGCCGCGGTTGAGTCCTGTTGAATGAATGGTGCTGTGCTTAACCCATCTCTAGTGACACTCGATGTGTTCTCCTCGCAGAGGCAAGCCTTACTTCGATCAATCATCTATAAGCCGAGTTTGCTGACAGTCTATGTAGATTTCAAGGAAATCCCGTAGCTATTGTTAAAGTCGACAATGGCGGCAAACTATCTCACGATCAAAAGCAGAAAATTGCTAGAGAATTCAACTATTCCGAAACAGTGTTCTTATATAGCACCGATGACAAGAACCACCGCGTCGAGCTTTTCACGCCAGTCAATGAAATGCAATTCGCTGGCCACCCGATTATTGGGACCGGTCACTTGCTCTTCCGAGAGTCAACCGCCAGCGTAACTGAGAGACCAACAAGCCTGACCATCATGACCAAGGCGGGGCCCGTTCCGGTTACGTATGATCGGGAAAGCCAAATTGTGCATGCGAGTGTACCACACAACATCCACATTCACCAACAAGAAGCCGCTCTCGACCAAATCTGCGCAGTGCAAGCTAGTATGGAATCGGCTTCGGATCTCTCCGAGGTCAAGACCACCCACCCGGCGGTGTCCATGGTCAAGGGGGTCACATACGCTCTAGTGGATCTTACAAAAAGACAGGATATTTTCAGCAATCTTGTTCCTGGGGCGAGCCCCCAGCTAAATTTGGACGAAGGATGGGCTCCATCCTTCACGGGTGTCATGTACTACCGCCTCCTCCATCCCTGCACACAAAGTGGAGGTGACGTGGTGATTTGGGAGCTTCGCGTTCGAATGATTGCAATCAATCTAGAAGATCCTGCCTGTGGCAGCGGAGCATGCTCCTTGAGTGCCTATCTGGCGCTGTCATACGGGCAGCCGAGCCAGAATCACCGATTCAATATCCAACAGGGTTCAGAGATGGGAAGAAGTAGCAGAATCATTGTGGACGTTGGTTTGGACGAAGATGGACGTCGGGTGAGGGATATAAAACTGGCAGGGCAAGCAGCCTTTGTTGCAGAAGGAAAGATGTATGTGGACTGAAAATCTTGGACAAGACCAGATTGGTTGCATGTATGGACGGGGCCTGCTGCCTCACATGCCTTGCTTACTGCGTCAACAAGCAACCACCGAAATCGCCGGGCAGCAAGACTTGGCTTTCAATTGACGTTGCCTTTGTTCTTCTCCCACCTGTCTTTTTTTCCGTCATCTTGGCTGGTGTACCCGACCGAGACTGGGGGGTTTCCTTGCCTATGGCAAATCTTGTCATCTACCGAATGCGCTTTTCGATACGCGAAAAAGCAAAGGCATGGCAGGAGGCGAGCAATCGATTAAAAAGTAATCCGTCTCTAGAAGCGACTGTCAAGGAGGGCTGGAATTTGGCACTGAAACTCTGATATCTTACACTCAACTGAACCTGTTTCGATTCCTGTGGGTAGTTAGCCCACCATAATTTACAGGGCCTACAAGCGCTGAAGGCCTGTAATAAGGCGTCTGAATGAAGCCGGCGGCGGCGGCCGGCGCGCTTTCTTTCGCGCTCGCGGCGAAAGTATGTAAAAAAATAAAAATAAAAAATAAAATTGTAGGCGAATGACGACCTCGAGAACGTTCAGATCAAGTGCGCTCAGCTCACTGTCACCATCATTCCCGGGATCGAAGCACCAATCCATTGCCTGCGCATTGTACAATGGCGCCCACAAATTTGGCTACCAGTAAAACCTCAGTCCACTCAACATCTCGCTGGGGAACGAACAATCATGTCGCCAACATTTGTGTCTACAAGCAAGCAGATTATGTCTGGCGGCACGGGCTCCTTGCACAAACTCGTTGGCAAGCACTGAGGTGGCATACTCACTCGAGATCAGTGCCCCAACTGGCTTTCCAAGCTTCTGTCCAAAAAATTCTCTTCTAGACAAGTCGGGCACGAGGTACGACGCGAAATCTACGCGCAAAGAGGGTCGTCATACTCACTCCATATCTAACTTATTCGCGTCTGGAACCTAATACAGACCCAATAATCCCATGCCCTTACGCTCATGGGCTCGCGAAAAGGACCGATGGCAATGGTTCGAATGCTTTTGTTTCGGCCGTTCATGACAACGGTGACGGAGATTTTTCCCCAGCCAAGAGTTCCCGACGTAGATGAGCTACTATGGCGCACCCCTGGCTTGTTCCAGATAAAAACGTCATCTTCCCAATCAAGACCCCAGGTACACGTGAGGAGATACACGTGAGCAGAAAACACGTGCAGCGATGCCCTGCTTTGGTGCTAGGAAATCTCAACGTCGGAAGCGGGCGAACGGTGAAGGAGTCGGCTGTGCAGCAAGCCCGGCACGCCTTTTCATGGCTTGCTTCATGCTGTGTGCCAAGCTGACCCGATTTCGGGCCAGTTTTTTTCTCGGGTTACCAAGTTGAGTAACCCGTTTGGATTTTTCTTCGGCTGTAAGGGTAATGAAATCGGATGATGGCTTGCTTGCGTGGCTTAAGCCATTGCTATTTATTCAAATCCATTTGCTGTGCCAATGTGGAGAGCATCAAAACGAGCGGAGTCGCCGCAAAAACAAGCAACAAGGTAATGCCATTTTCCGCTAAACAACATGGTATATAGATACAACTATCGTCTTGGAAACAGCCAAGGTGAGAATTCGCATGAATGATGCTGGGGTACATTGAAAATTGAAGCAACGAGAATTGGTAAGAGCGGATCAGGAACCCGCCATGTAAGCTTAAAAAATGACGGGTTTCCGAAACTAGCTAATGCGTGACCTCAGTGGCTGCAGGGCCAGCCAACAGTGGCACACCTACGTGGAGAAGCTCTCCAGACTTTGCGACCATGTGGCCTCTGCGGCCTTGGCTCAGAAGTGCCTACAAGTTCTTGGCATGTTTGTGCGACTTGATGTGATTTGAATATTCCACCTTGCGGCCCTCGTGTTGGAGGCGCGGCTTGGCGATAGAACCGGACCGCGATTTGTGTCATGGCTTCCGAGAAAAGTACACTGACTGAACACACTCGGTTTTCCAAACCGGGGAAGTGGATAGCATCTTGTTCCATTGTTTCTTCTTTATGGTCTCCGTTCTCGCTGACCTGGGGTAATCTAATCCGTAGCGCGGGCGACATGTTTGCTAGGTGCCAGGCAACCATTGCCAGCCTGATTTCACGGGGTATCCTTGCATCTTTCCTCCCCCATACCATTCAATTACTCCATATCCGTAATTAGCCATGAAAAGCAAAAGTGGGATCGCTGCAAGGCCGTTCTCGCAGGACGCAGCCGGGACGAATTGTCGATAAAACCCGACAGCTCCATCCCTTCTATCATTCTTTTCCTTTCTGCTCACTCAATGACAGGCTATTCCACTACTGTTGGTGGTACACGATAGCAATCATGTTCGGAATCCCGAAATATTTTGGCTTTAGAGGCCGAGCCCTCAATATGGCCATTAGTTCTCTCGGCAGCCTTGATTTCTTGTGAGTTCTCATAACACACTAGCTCCTCATCCATTCTTGCACACTATCCTAAAATTCTTCTAGACTTTTTGGATATGATCAGGGTATTACCGGTGGTCTACTTGATCTACCATCCTTCAACAAGTACTTTCCCGATATTTTTCTGGACCCAGAGCTCGAGAAGAGCAACTTGCCGCTCTACCAGCAACGCTCAACATACCAGGGTATTACCGTTGCGGCCTACAATCTGGGTTGCTTCCTAGGCGCAATAATTACCATCTTTATCGGGAATCCTCTTGGTCGTCGTCGTACCATCATGATTGGCTGTCTCACCATGGCTACCGGCGCCCTTTTACAAAGTACCGCGTTTCAGCTGCCACATTTCATCGTAGGTCGGATTATTACAGGTATTGGCAATGGCATCAATACTAGCACCGTTCCTACTTGGCAATCCGAGTCTGCGAAATCGTCCGATCGTGGCAAGCTTGTCATGATTGAGGGTTCGCTCATTACCGGTGGCATTGCACTAAGCTACTGGATCAATTACGGTATGCACACAAAAATCTCATGCGTGGCGACATACTAAGCTCTAACTTTGATCAAGGCTTCGCATTCATTGGCGAAAAGGAGGTTGCCTGGCGCTTTCCATTGGCTTTTCAGATCTTGTTTGCGGTAGTCATCTTTGTCTCCATCTCTAATTTACCAGAGTCCCCGCGATGGCTCGTCATGGCAGGAAAAGACGACGAGGCACTTGAAGTTCTCGAGGCCTTGAATGAGAAGCCACGAACAGACTTCATCATCCAAAAGGAGTTTGACGACATTAAAATGACTGTGGTCGAAATGTCCAAGGGCTCTTATCGCAGTCTTTTCGACATGAGCGAGTACCGCGAGTTCCACCGAGTGGTTCTAGCCTATGTCAATCAAATGTTTCAACAAATATCTGGCATCAATCTCATCACCTACTACGCGCCGACACTCTACAGCAAAGTTGGCCTACAAGGCAATAACATAAACAAGCTTCTCGCCGCGTGCAATGGCACAGAATACCTGCTTGCTTCCTTCATTCCGATCTTCATCGTTGAAAAGACAGGCCGACGACCACTAATGCTATTCGGAGTAAGTCGGACCCCTTTCCTAAAAAGAGACGTCATCTCTAATACATGCTCTTCTCTAGGCCGTCGGTATGTCTGTGTCCATGGCTGTTCTTGCGGGTTGCAACTGGCGATTGGAAAACTTGCAAGACACGCGAGCTGGTATTGGCCAAGCCGTGTTTCTTTTCGTTTTCAACTCATTCTTCGCTATTGGCTGGCTCGGCATGACTTGGCTATATCCTGCCGAGATTGTGCCCTTGAAAATCCGTGCACCAACAAATGCATTGTCGACGAGGTAGGCTGTCAACAAGTTTCTTTGATCCCGAACGTGAGTCGCTTACCTGGGAAACAGTGGAAACTGGATTTTCAACTTCATGGTCGTTATGATTACACCTGTTGCTTTTGCGAATATCGGTTATAAGACCTACGTCATTTTCGCAGTAATGTGAGTTTTGTCATAAGATCATGGTATTCCGAGTTACTGACGTTTCTAGCAACGCCTTCATGGTTCCCTCGGTCTATTTTTTCTTTCCCGAGACTAAACTTCGATCGTTGGAGGAGATGGACGCCATCTTCAAGAAGTCTTCGAGCGTATTTGATGCAGTATCCATTTCGTTAAAAGAGCCTTATCGCTACGACAAGCATGGGCGGCTTAAGCCAGAGTACTTTGAGGAGGCCGCGCACCACGAGTACCAGGAAAAGTCTCCAAGTTCTGGCGACGAGAACACTAATGTTTTCGTGGGAAAGACGTCGCCCTAGGGATGAAAATAAGCATACAAGGGCCCAAGGTCTAGCAATGCCACCAAGTACAATAATTGTCATCTCCCACAGTCTATTGATCGCGACCAAATAGTAATTGGAATAAGTACAAACGCGCATATAAACACTGTAATCTTTTTCTTTACATGACGCTCTCAGTGTATCCAACCAATATGTCTCCAAAATAGAACAATTCCACTAAGCGCAGCAGTGAAGCCCGTAAAAATGACCAGCGGCCCGTAAACCGTGCCGTATGCACCATAGGTCTTCACACGCCAGTAGTCACCGACGAGCGCCTGACTGAGTGGACCAGATAAAACACTTCCAATGCCTCTTCCTGCAGCAAGCACCGATAGCACCATGACGGGATCCGTGTCTTCGCAGGAGTACCGCTCACTGATGGTATCATCAGTCGTGATCTGCTGCATAAGGCCTGTCCAGGCCGAAGTGTATGAGCCCGCAAACAACCCATAGAATGCACAATAAATGAGTAGCGATGGCACGGTGGTCGTGAAGCCCCATAGCAGAAACGTGGCCAAGGACGCGCCCACTGTTGCGATGAATAAACATCGAGTGACATGATAATTGTCGGACAGCCAGCCCATAGTTGGGCATCCAACCGTCGAGGTAAGGTTGAGGAGCAAAATCGTGCTTGCAGACACAAACTTGCCTGCGCCGAGCACTGACCTCGCATATGTCGGCAGGAAGATGCTAGGCAGGAAAAAGCCCAAAGCTTGAAATATGTTGGCTATCTGGTGAAGCATAAATGTCTGGCTCAACGTGAAGCGAAAGTTGAACGGGTTGCCTTGGGCTCCAGATTGACTCAAGGGCAGTCGAGGCTTGACAAAGTATACCACGGGAAGAGTGATCACTACAAGAGCGACGGCAGAGACTCTGAGCGTGTATTGGTATCCGTATTCACCCAAAAGATATTGGAGGACAAAGGGAAGCACTGATCCCGACAGTCCGGTGCCGGCCCACATGATTCCGTACGCCATGCCCTTTCGTCGGTCGAACCAGTCATTGAGAAAGGCAATGCAAGGGCAGTAAGACAAGGAGCTTCCAATGGCAAAAAGGATACCTTGTGTCACGATCAGGTGGGAGACTGTTGTCGCAAATGAGGCAGCCACAAGAGCGCCAGCCATGACAAAGATGCCAAGAAGAGGCGAACAGGCACTCAATCGAGGTGAAAGTCGCTGAATGCCCATGGTAATAGGCATGCCCAAGTACATGATACCCTGGGATAAGTTAGTTGCGGCATGGTATGAGTTGACTGACTTTTTTGAAACGTACCATGGCGCTGGTGGAAACTGATGGTAAACCTGTGGCATCTTGAAATGGCGGGTGTGTGATGTAATAGTCCTGGAAGACGCCGTAGGCACCAGGAAACCCTTTCGATGGATAACACAAGCACATTAGGATCTCGTGTGACTTGTTCCAAGATTTGTGCGATAACTCACCAAGGGCTAGACCTTCGATCAAAAATGAGCCTGTGAGGAACAGCCATGCGTGCAGCCCAGAGTCCGGGGGGTGAACCACCCTGGTACCATTCTTCTTGCTCATATCATGCTTGTCATTGCGAATCGGCGTGGTCGGGGTGTGTATATTTGTCTCCTCGTCCGCCACGTAGGGCGTTCTTCCCATTTTTGGGCGTTTTCCGAGTCCTAGGCCCACCAACCGATCGCTTGATATCGTTCCCGTGTTGAAGCCAAGTTGCAGTCTAATATCGCTTCAAGTATTGTCGGCTTAGAGAATGTTGACGAGATCGGCAAGCTTTTGTGTTCCAACTCGTCATAGTGAGGCTACATGCGCCTTTTATTCCATCTCCAAGATGTAGATTTGCCGGGGCTGGGAAGCTCGGCAGCCTCTTAAGCGGAAACCCACATGTGAGGAATGAAGCCTGTCTGTAAGACAACCTCAAGGGCCAAGGCATACCATGCGACCCTCCGGCTTGCAACTCGCCGAGGCTGAAATGTCTAGCTGTCAGCTCATGATTAGGAGACATCGAACTTGAGTTTCTTACTTGAGGGGTTAGGAAAACAGGCCGGGCCCATCTTCCCACGTTGCGACGTGGTGGTCGTGCAGAGATTCCTGATGATACATCACACTGAACATGACGACGGCGTCTTTGAGACATTATGTAACTCTTCCCCAAGTCTTTCATGTGACTGAGTTGATCTAAAGTCTGTAAGATATAGAAATCCGTATTCCGAAAAACGGGCATCAATGTTGAGCTCGTGCCAACAGTGCATGTACAAACCGCCGCTACAGTGTTGGCTCTTGACCGCGGCACCCACTCTCTCAACTTTCTGGTGCGCATTACCAACCTTTCGAACCCGTAGTGCCCTTCAAGTCCGTGGGCCACTGATAGGAATTCGAGCTATAATCCCATCCGCCTCGACAGCCAGTAATTCTGTCTCACAAGTTCCCTCTCTGGGCAGCATCATTGGCTTGCTGATCCAGACCCACCAGCACCATGGCCTGTTGTCTTAGCCTTAGGAATCCAACACCCTCTTGAATACGATGCAGAAGATGCAGCGTCGTAAATATTGTAAAAATGTAAAGAAAAATGAACATGACACTCAAAAGTAGGGTCAGTATGTAGGAGTCATATATCAGAAAAGAACTGGAGCGACCTGGTTTTCGGGTCTCCCAATAGACTTATGCTAGTCAGCAGTGTCGTTATCAGTCGTGTTAGTGCGCCGGAACTGAGACTTGACATGTAATAAAATCCATCTTTGGAAGTCGAGGTGGCTCTGAAACCAAGCGAGTGAAGATTGCTGAACGCCTCGTCACTCTACTTTACTCAATATACTCCGGCCTCGTGACGCTAGCTGTCGAACGCAAACGATGTCGCCATTCACATGAGCGTTCCGCCAAACGAGATGCACATGATCTTCTTCGGGTTAAAAAAAAATCAGCGTTACAGTGCAGATTTATCTGGATCAAAGCACTAGTCCTTGACGCAGAGCCAATACGTTCTTCTGCTCGGTAGTGGCGCCGGACACCTGGTTGGTGGCCCAGTCTTGTCGTGGACACTCGCTCGGCAATGTGCCTACATCTCGGAGGGTCTCCATCAGGGGGGTGGTTGAAATCATAAAAAGGTGCAATAAAGCTTCAATTGAAGTGCAACAGCTGTGAAGATGGCCAAGAGTCTAGTCATGACTGTGCGTAGCCAAGGAACCAAGCACTGGCGACTAGGCCAGGCTCGTCCAAGGGCAACGCTGCAGCATGGAGCTCAGCTGCACCGCCATCATCCGCAGCAACTCCGCCTTGGATGTCATGTAATTAAGACTTGGCAATTTGCTACTATCGCATAGCGTAGATATATATGTCCTGGTAATAGGTCGAGCCCGAAACCTAGTCACGCTCTAGGGGCAGTAAAGCCTTGCCGCAACGGCACATGATTACTGCCGCGTAGCAATACAAAGTTTCAGGTCAAAAGTCATGATGCTCCACATCATTCGAAGATTAGTGGTAATTAAATCACTGCGTGACCATTTGATTGTATTTGAGTCATTGGGTTGGCTATTTTCCTTGTTTTTCGGCATATCGAAATCTTCAGCTTCATCTCGGCACTGATCCCTCTTGCGCCACACCCTGGCACCTGCGCAGACCGCGCCGAAACTCAAAGCGACACCAAGTAATTCAGTTAATTTCTGCAAATTTAAACCCTGACATATTCGAGTTTTCGGGCCAGCCAGCAGCCGATTGTCACCCGAACAATCCTGCCGCCGTCATCGCGGCGGGCCACGACAGTCCAGTCGCCAGGGGGGGACGAGTCCATGGCTCTGGGACAGGCAAGTGCAAAAACATCTTCGGCGAGGGGCCGGATCAGATGGATGGGTCCTTTTCCAAGAAAGCCATCGAATGAGCCATACAACATGCCATCAGTGCCACTGCAATGGAATACGGAATCGATTTCCGCGCATTCGAATTTGCCGTGCAAGTCAGAGTACTTTGCATTGGGCTTGGCAACTGGCACACGATGAGCGCGGAATCTTCGATTGTCCTTGGGAACGGTAATATTCAGCACATCGCCATCCAAGAGGGCGGTGACATCGATGGAAACAGCCTTGTTCGCCTCCACAGGGGTGATGTCCACCGCAGAGCGATAGTAGCCAAAGGCTAACTTGCCCTCTGCTTCTCCTTTGCCAATAGTGACAGCCAAGTCTGATTCCGGATCCAAGTAGGTGCCGATGAATGCCGAGGCGGGCTCCACGCCGCTGAATTTGACGGCTTGTACTCCCAAAAGTCGCTCAACTACATGGTCACACACTGTGCCGGCTTTGGCGTGCTCCTCATTCAGCAGAGCAACGACAGATAGTCTTGCCCTGGGGACGTAGATTCTGGTGAGTCTGTAGCCGCGCAGAGCGCCACCATGGCCAACCAGAGTAACGTCGCCAATAGTGTGCTGGCTCAGACCATAGCCGTAATCAGATGGAGATCCATCCTTGAACTGCTGCTTCTTGCTGTTGAGGCCATACCAATTCTGGTCATTCTCACGATTTTTGTCAACATACTTTTCGTAAGCGACCATGTCAGACAGTGAAGCCACAATACCAGCATCACCAGCCCACTCAATACGGTTGTCGCCGGGATAGAAGCCAAGTGTCTCTGTGCCTTCGTAGCCGACACAAGGGGGTGGGTGCTTGGAGGTGTCGGCGCAGAGAAAGGCTGTCTTCATACCGGCGGGCGCAAATATCCTCTCATTAAGCAGATCCGAAAGGGTCTGGCCAGTGACGTTTTCCATTACACGACTCAGAATGTAAAAGTTGGTGTTGGCGTACGAGTACTGCGTGCCCGGCTCGAATTGGAAGGATTTGAGGCGCTGTAGCATCTGGGGACCATGACGCTCAATAGAAAAGGGCATCTCAGGTTCAGCACCCCAAAGCACAGTGAGTGCCCAGTAGTCGCGTAGTCCCGACTGGTTATTGCAGAGCAGCTGCAGCGTCACACCCGTGTCTTGGGTCATCTCTTTGGGAAGGACTTTGGCGAGCTCATTGGCAAGCTGCTCGGCCGCCGGCTCGCTACGAGCAGCCATGGCCGGTGTAGGGTTTAGTTGCAGATCCGTGAGCAGGCCGCAGGTCATTTGCTTGGAAATGGAGCAAATGGGAATCACAGTGTCGTTGCCCATGGGAATGCCCTTTCGCAGGTCGGCGAAGCCCCAGACCTTTTCACCGAGCAGCTCGCCATCCTTGACGACGGCAACAGCACCACCAGGACCGCGAAACTTTGCAGGCAGGTCTGCCAGAACTTGCTCGACTGGTTCTGCTAGCTGAGCCATTTCTCATGTGAGTTGCAGCAGTTGTAGATGGTTACCTAACAGGAACAAAGGTGCGGGGCAAGGCTTTATATGGTCGGTACCGGTACCCACCAACCCTGACGGGCCACGATTTATGAGTGAATTTGCCAAGTATGAAGCATTATTTACGATGAACTCCCAAAGAGGCTAATTATCATGTTGAATTTTATTCCAAAGTCCATGATCTTGTTCTTTTTCTTTTCAGCCTATAGCAAGGTTCCCGCCCGGAATAATGACCTGCAACAGCATTCTCCGCTGTGGGGCGTAGACAGCAAACAGCCCATGTCACTGCCCAACCAGAAAACTCTCATGCGAATACCAAGAACATGGAGGTATTTTGAGGATGGAAGATCCTGCTAGATTTTGATTGGCACTCGAATGGCGTAGGGTGGGATCGCCGCATCATCGCGTTGTAGCCTGTTGTTGGATTGAACGAGCATCCGCTTGCGAGTATGAAGCCCAGCTCCAATGTACAACCCGATCACC